GAACAAATATAGGGGTCTACTAGTACATTAAGTGTTAGGCATTGTGGTTCATAATGGGATATACAAAAACAAGGTGTATTTTCTCCACTTTGCACAAAAATGGTAAAAAGTAACAAATAAAAGTTCTATTTGTGTGTCCCAAAGACATTATCAGTAGGAGGAGCAGAGAACACATATGTTTGATTGGTATAAATAAAGCACTGTTGGCCAATAGGGAAGCAAGATAGGTGGGAGTAGGAGTCTAGGAGGATTCTGGGAAATGTAGTGAGGAGAGTGGTCGAGATGTGATCCCTGGAGGAGAGAAAGCCAAGTCTGGTGTTCTCAGGAAGATAAGTCCTTATAAGAATATATATTGGGGATTATGGGTTAATGATTATGTCAGAGCTAGCTGATTAGAAACCATAGCAAATGGCCAACAGCTTCATAATTAATATAGTGTCTTTTGTGTTCTTTGGAGGCTAAAGCGGCAACAGGACCAGGTGGGACTCCAGCATCAATATAGCGTCAGTGTGATATGAATGTCCACGTAGAATGACAAAAGTTTAAAAGGGATTTTAGAAACAAAAGAACAGAGAGAAGCATGGCTTCTTGGTAGCAGCATTTTCTCAGATGGACTCTGTTTTGCTAGAGACAAGTAGAGACTTGTGCAGTAAACTTATGCCCACCATCTCAGAAAGCAGTTAAATCAGCCAAGGCTCTTAACAGATAAAAGACACATGGCCAGAAAAACAAAAAGATTTACAGTAATGTCAGATTCAGATCAGATGGAGAAAAACCTCTAAAAGGTTTATAGTATGTTTAAAAATATACATAGGCTTGGGACAGAAAAAGAAACAAGATGAAGTGGTTTAAAAAAAATTAGAGTGGCTGGGTGGTGGTGGTGCACATGCCTTTAATCTCAGCACTCCAGAGACAGAGGCAGGCAGATTTCCACAGAGAAACCCTGTCTCAGAGAAAAAGTAAATAAATAAAAGTAAAATAAGTAGAGTAAAAAGAAAAGAGCCATGTAAAGATGAAAAGTACAAAGAGAGTCTGTATACTGTATGCTGTTGTGTTGTCTTTGAACTGTTTGACTGCTAAGGAAATAACAACTGCTAAAAGAAATGTTACTAAATTGATCTAACTTATATTTTTTAAAAATGCTTTGACTTCTAAATTTAAGTATAAGGACAGGCTACTTGGGAAAAGAGATTCCATTTGTGTTTCCACAGAAAATGAGAAACCGTGGATTCCTTCCAGATTTATACAGTTTGATGAAGCAAGACTTCCTGAAGCAATGTCCCAGGAAGACCAGCATCTGAAACAGGTGGGACAATACAGCTGTACAGACTACAAAAACAAGTACTTGTCCAGATTTCTGTGCTTTGTCATGATCCCCATGGTATGGACAGTGCCCCCATCCGGGAGGAAGCAGTTTGGAATGAGCAACCCCCAATTCCCAAATATTCTTTAAATGTTTGTTTTCATTTACACAGGGTTGCTTATAAAGGGTAATGATCACAGTCAATCTCTTTCTGAAGGGAAAAAAGGGAATATGATATAGAATTGAAAACTTTGTCTTGGATGGATTTTCATTTATTGATACAAATTTAAGGTCAATTTTGTATATGAACATTTCTCCTCTTGATTAAGTATTGTGTTTATACTGATCTTTTAAAATATAATGTATAATTAAGTACAGATTATAGATAGTTCCCTATAATAATCAAAACTTAAAGTTAGGTTTTCTAGATATACAGAGATATATTTGAGATAGCTAGATTATAGATAGATAGATAGATAGATAGATAGATAGATAGATAGATGGACTTCAAACCTTTCAAAGACCTTCAGAAAATGGCATTTAAAATGGTTTAGGGTTTTTCTTGACAATGAGAAATGTCTGCTCCGGGCATCACCAATTACCTCTGAGAGGAAGATGGGCATCAAAGAAACTCGTTATGGACTTTGCTTTCAACATGGCAAGATTAGCCATTTGGGCAAGAAACTGCTCTTGCTTGGACTGCTTGACTGTTGCTGTATAAAATGGACATGCAGGACCCACAGGAAAGTGACTGCGGAACTTTATGGCACAGTCTTACAGGGTTCTTGCTTCATGGAAGAGTCTGACAGACATTCTGTAGGACACAGAAAAATGATTGACAAACTGCCAATACAGATGGACAGTTTAAAATTTCCTGGTTTGCTGAGAAGTCTGCCCGGTACACTGTGGCCTATGGGCTGAAGATGGATGCCCCAATGTTGCAGAGGAACTTCGGTAACTGTCCAGGCAGCAAGATGTCTCTGTCAATTCTGGTGTTTATGTATTATCCTTCTGTGGTCTTTGATTGAGTTGAAGACAGATATTTATAGTTATAGTTTTTCTTACTTATGATAAAAGATAAGCTACATATAAGACTTTAGACTCACATGAAAGGATAATTAATAGATCTTACCAAATATTAATGGACAAAGTATTGTAAATGTTTGTTATATATAATTTGACCATGTTAAAGTTAAAACCTTTCTTTTTATTTAGACAGATAACAGGAGATGATGGAAGTAGCTCTTTTGTGCATGTGTTTGATTGGTATAAATAAAGCGCTGTTGGCCAATAGCAAAGCAAGATAGTTGGGACTATGAGTCTAAGAGGATTCTGGGAAATGTAGTAAGGAAAGTGGTCGAGATGTGATCCCTGAAGGAGAGAAAGTAAGTCTGGCATTCTTGGAAAGATAAGTCCCTATGAAAATATGTATTGGTGATTATGGGCTAATGATTAAGTCATAGCTAGCCGATTAGAAACCATACCAAACTTCCAACAGCTTCATAATTAATACAGTGTCTTTTGTGTTTTTGGGGGGTGAAAGTTGCAACAGGACCCAGGTGGGAATCCTGCAACATTAGTACCTTCTTTACCTTCTCTAAGACACTTCCTCTTACTTTCATTTGAACAAAAACAGCTAAGAAAACTAGACCCAAAAATGCAAAATTATATCAACTTAGCATCTTAATTGTCTGAACAGAGAAAAGGATTTTGGGGTATTGGATATACAGGAGAAAATCTTGAAAGTCTTGAAAAGGAGAATTATGAGAATGTGGAAACTTATATAATTTCTTGGTAGGCAAAATAGTGGATTTTCCCCCAGACTTTTATTGACTTTGTTTTCCTTTTTTGATTTTTTTTACGTCACTGTTATTTGTCCCTTGACTTTTCTGAAGGATTTCCTTTGCGTTTAGCCAAGTATAATATAGAGTTGACATTTTACCGAAATCTTAACATAAATTTAAACTGTATACCCACAATGTTACTAATAGTTCTTGGCACATAACAGTCCTTAACTAAAAGTCAGATACTGAAGAAAAAATTTGATTAACTATACTTATTTATTTTTATATATGTGTATATATAGGTGCACACATGCAAAAGTCAGAGGAAAGCATCATCTTCTTTCATATTCTACCTTATTTCTTTGAGGTTAGGTCTCTTTCTGAACCCAGATCTCATGTTTTTGTTTGTTTGTTTGTTGTTTTTGTGTCTCTGTTGCTGTCAGTGCAGGGTTAACAGGTCTGCATGCACCATGCCCACATCATATATAGGTTTTAAGATCTTTACTCTCGTTCTCACACATGCATAGCAAGAACATAAGATATTTCCCTGCCCATGAAATGAGCTATATTCATTGGAGTGCTGTTGACATTTTTGTATATGTTGGAAATTGTTTAAATAAAAACATAATAATTTATCATAATGTGTACTACTTCTATAAATACAATTAATTTCAATTTTTATTTATTTATTTATTTTTTACCAAACTAAACCTTAACTTGTGGATGTAAGATATCAGGTGGAGACAGAATCTATTTGAAATAAATTTGTTGCGGAGGTTTCTGGTCTAGAAATCTAGATGTTCTTAATTAAATTTCATTCATCAATATCCTGTTTTTCTAACAAAAAGGAGAGTACAACTTTAATTAGACATTTGAAAAGACATTTGTAGTTCCTTCATTGTGAATAGATAAAGAATTAATATGTAATGACAGCAAGTATGTCAAATGCAGAATAGATCAGACACAAAGATAGAAAATAAAATATTTATGTTTACTTACTATTTGATAACTGTTCTGTTATATATAATTTGACTATGTTAATTTTAAAGCCTTTCTTTTTATTTAGACAGAAAACAGGAGATGATGGGGATAGTTCTTCTGTGAATGTATAATAATACAAAAATACTGTAACCATGGATTGAGTTGCATTTCTCATACACTTGCATAAATTGTTCTTATGTGTTTTTTATTTTCTTCCTTTAAAAAGCAAAGTATTTATCAATTTTTTAATTGAGCAGCTTTTGGCACTTTTTAAATTTCATAGGCCATTGTTGCAAAGAATACAACAATAAGTGTATGATTAATAAGTGAACATTAAAATGTGGGAAAGTAAAAAAGAGCTATGGGGGGAAATTCAAGGTAAGGATAATAGTAAACCATAGGTGATATGAAAAGGGAAAGTGGAATGAAGAGGTAAGAATAAAAATAGAACATTAAAATTTTGATTTATAAATTTGAGTTTCAGTTATACTTATCGACTTCAGAGTAGAGTCTAAGACACTATGGTTTTCATAAAACTAGGACATTTCATTTTTCATAAATCAGCTTAGTGCATTGTTTAGAATGAATACAAAGGGCATAACATCTTTTGAACTCATGGGTGGAGGTGAGAAATATTTCCTTCCTCATTCTTTAAACTTACTAGTGCACCTCAGGCTCTCTGTCTTCCCCCTAGATGTACATTTTTATCTCAGTTCTCATACAAAACTTTCCAATTCATATCCAGCACTAAACTATAATTTAATCCAACACTAAAAAGTATCTAGATTGCTAAGTATAAAGTCATTAACAAGGTTTTCTGAAATAGAGAATATTAATATTACACAACAATAGAGAAAAATAATTAGACCGCATGATTTCTAACTTCCATTTATGAGCACTAATATGAAACAAACCCTTAAAACCCAACTTACTGATACATCACTACTGTGAGGAAGGCCAGCCTGTCCACCTCCACGCTGCTCTGTGTCTGGTCCCTGTCAAATGAATTGCATCCTGGATATTCTCGAAGATGTGTAGCTGGCTTAGGTTAAGAATACTTGAAGATTTAAAAGAAACTTGTTTAACAAGTTGGGACGGGCAAATGTTAACCAAGAGTATGGTTTGAGGTAAGGAAAAGAATCACTTGATAAAGTCTTTGTTACAGGAAATAAGAATTTCCTTGTTCTGGCTAATTGAGAAACAACGTCAAGTCCCAAATGTAAGCAACTCCCTTGACTCTTGGGGAAGTTTTCTGTTTGTCTTTCAAGAGGCAGCCCTGTCCCTGTGAGTCAGCAATGTCTGGTCTCTGGCTCAGCCGTTCATTGCTTTCAGAGGCACCTGAAACATAAGGTTTTCAGGCAGCATTTGATACTCTTGACAAGACTTTTCTTAGTGCAATAGCATATGCTTATACTATATCTTGCCCAGTATTCTCATGTCTATTCTAAAAAGAGATATCTTAAGAAGGGGGAAAAAACCTGAGGTTTACTTTGAACCTACAGCTATTGTAAGGTTCTCATCAACTGACTATGGTTTTTTTCTGGGTCCAATAACTTTTAACTATATCTGCATCCACTTTCTTTGATACTGCTGGGTTTTCATCTCTCTGGCACTATTCCGTGTCTTCCAGTGACTATTTTTCCTACATATGGAGAATATTTCTTCCTTTTTCTGTGCTGCAGTCCACTCACTGTCAGAGTGATCTAATTAGAGCCTGTCCACATGGAATTTATGGGCTCTGGAAGCCTGACCTTCCTCCAGGACAGTAATTCCTAGTCTCCCCAGCTCTGCCTATTCTAAACAACCTTCCCCTCCTCAAATAAGAATCTAGAGTTAGTTTTGTATGCTTTTATATTTCTAGACTCAATCTGATAACAAAGATCAGAAGGTTAAAACTGCAATGTATTTCAATGGGCTAAGCAGCCCCTATAATGAGCACCAAGGCATTCAATATTCATCAGCCCTTTCTTTTCAGCTAATAGTATTAAACACTCCTATTTATATTCTATTCCTTCTTTCATTTTTGGCAAAAATCAATCTTTGATCGTTTGACTAGGAGTGTCCTCTATGGGCTCATATGTTTGAATGCTTGGTCCTCAGCTGGTGAAACGTATTTAGGAAGGATTATATATATAGGAGGTGTGCTTAGAGGGGGGAACTTAGAGGTTTCAAAAGTTCACACCATTCTAGTTCTCTCTCTCCCTCCCTCCCTCTCTCTCTCTCTCTCTCTCTCTCTCTCTCTCTCTCTCTCTCTCTCTCTCTCTCTCTCTCTCTCTGTCTTGTGGTTGTTTTCTCAACATGTGAACTCTCAGCACTATGCCTGTCTGCCCACTGCCATGCTCCCTGCCATAATAATAATGAACTAACACTCTGAAATGGTAAGTATTCCCCGATAAATTCTTTCTTTTATAAGTTTCCTTGGTCATGGTGTCTTTTCATAGCAGCAGAAGGAAAACTAAGTCACTATAATAAACTGGAATACAAATTAGTAATGCATAGAGGCAAATGTTTAAACTGTTGGAGACATAAAAGTTTCAGAATATTATCAATTTTATACTGCTTTATAACAAGTTATATAAACTTAATTGTTAAAATAATTAGTAAATGAATATAGAGGCAAATGTTCAAGCCAACTGAGACACAAAAATTTCAGAATGTTATCAACTTTATATTACTATGTAACAAGTTATAAAAAACATAATTGTTAGGGTCTAGGCCCTGCTCCAAATGATATGACAGACTTAGAAGATTCCCCCATGGAAGGCCTCACCCTCCCTGGGGAGCAGAAAGTGGATGGGATGGGGGTTGGTGGTGGGCACAGGTGGAGGGGAGGGAGAGGGAACTGGGATTGGCATGTAAAACCAGCTTGTTTCAAATTTAAATAAGAAAAGAAAAAATTAATAAAAAGATAGAACACACACATAAAAACATAATTGTTAAAATAGTAATTGTTCATCACTTTCTTTTATTCTACAGGCCTGGGTCTAGATGAGCTCAGCTTTGCTTTAGAAACAGTATAATTCTAAATAGGTTTACTTCTAAAATATTCCACTGTGTCCAAAGTACAACACTTAGATCACATTACCAAAATTGTATTGCTTTAAATATACATGTTTGAAAAATTTTTTCTCTGTTGTTCTGACTTCTGTCTGTAAGAGTAAAGCTGATGAGTTCTGGGATTTCTGCTTTCAGGCTATGAGATTGTTAGATTAGTTTAGGATACAAGTTAAAGACCAATTATGATAATGATAGGAAACATTTATACCATTGACAGAAAATTCCAACAGGTTGCATGGATGGAAGTGTCGTCTTTAGGAGGCAAAAATGCTGTGATATTGTGACAACTTTGAAAGATTTAATAATTAGAAAATCAGATTCATAGAATATATCAGAGATAAGACATTAATGTTATTTAGATTTACAAGGTCAAAGAATTGAAAGTATTTGTGGCTCATCCCCTTGGATATTAACCATAGTGAAGTGGTTGGGTGAAGAAGTCTGCTTTGACTTTGGTGACCAGTACCTCATAAATGGAAGAACTGTTAAAGAAAAGTTGGAAGAAAGGAGGCAAGACAATTGTGGATTAGAATTATAAGCCTTAAACACATTTTTATATTAGTATGCAGCAAAGATTGTTATAAAACTATATAAGACTATAGAAGCTTTCAGTTCAAAGTTTGACAGAATTACAGTCAGTAAGATAGAACAAATCATATGAGAGGGGTCAAAGTATGTAAAGTATTAGAAAAAAAGACAAAACGACTTGTGCATATTTGCATATTCTCTCTCTCTCTCACACACACACACTCACATACACACACATACATGCACATGAGCACACATTTTTGCATACATACAAATATCCATATGCATGCACACCCACACACATGAGCACACACATAACACACATGTGTATATGTATATGGTGTGTACAAGGTGTGGAACACAGTGTGAATTTAGCTTTCCTCACACATATTTTTGCAAGGAGAAGCAGTGCAGTAACTTGCAATGGTTGCTAAGGCTACAATGTCCTGGGATGCCTAATTTACATGGCTCAGATTTTAACAATGGAGGTAAGACTGGTATGGACCCCGTTCTACTGGGTACGGCTCATTCTATAAACTTGTATATATCTATTTAGTCATGGTATCAGCATTCAAAACACAGTTTGATGTAGAGAATCTCTTATGTTTCCCTCAGATTCAAAAGTTATTACCCTACCAATTTCAATAGTTTGTTAGAAGTTTATCTTTATTTCTGTGACTGCATGAAGGATTGTGCATATATATGTGCATATATACATATATATACTTGCTATCAAATAATTCATCAGAAGTGTATTCAGTTGAAAGGGTAGATATGTTTTTATTGCTTTTATTGTTACTGAACCATGAAGACATCAGAGCCATGGTTGACTATTACCAAAACTTTTGGCTCAGTCTTTCTCAATCATAATAATTATAACCTTTAGTTAGAACCTCAAGTTTCATTAAGATTCTGTTTTGTGGGGGTTATTACATTTTGTCTATGTCTAATTGATTTGTTCTTACTTTGAAACCTATCATGCTTTTGTTTGTTCAATTAAAAATATATAAAGCCGGGTAGAGATGGTGCATGTCTTTAATCCCAGCACTTAGGAGGTAGAGGCAGGTGGAGCTCTGTGAGTTCGAGGCCAGCCTGGTCTACCAAGCGAGTTCCAGGACAGCCTCCAAAACAATACAGAGAAACCCTATCTTGAAAAAAAGCAACCAACCAACAAAACAAACAAAAACATACTAAAATTGCTATAGTGTCAATATAGTGTGTTGCTAACCATTTTTATGTTTGCCAAAGCAATAAAAAACCAACACTGCAAAGAGAAAGCACATCTTTATAATCTATATCATCTATACTAATGTTTTTAACAATAATATACTTTACATTTTTGAGATTTCATATGTTCTCCAACTTTTTTTTTAATTTAAATTAGAAAACAAGGTTGCTTCACATGTCAACCCCAGCTCCCTCTCCTCCTCCCATGCCTTCCCACCAACCCTCATTCCCCCTCCCCCCAATCCCCACTCCTTTCTCCAGGGAGGGTGAGGCCCTCCATGAGGGGGTGTCCATAGTCTGTCATTTCATTCAGGGCAGGGCCTAGGCCCTCCCTCCAAGAGTCCAGGCTGATAGAGCATCTCTCATTGTAGGATGGGCACCCAAAGTCCATTTGTATGCCAGGGATAAATACTGTTCTCCAACTTTTAAACTTTATTATTTATCAAGAATGCCTCACAGTGATGCCATGAGGTAGATAACTTAGCAATCCATGTGTCAGATGGAAAACATGAAGTGTAAGATCACTTGACTTCTATGACGTTCAACCAATAAGCCAAATGCCAAATTTGAAATAAGACATACAAACACTGTTATAAAAAATACACTTTCTATTTTTTTATAATCCATATGGCTTTTTATATTTATTCCTCTTATTTGTGTTATCATTGAACTCATTCTAACTAAACATGGAAATATTTAAATCAGTATACATAGTTTCACAGACACTTATACACAAAAAGTCATCACAGTCTTATGAAATATAAATAAAATTACACAAAATGAATCCTTTGTTATAGACTTTACAAAGGAAAGAATGAGGTTTGTTTTTTGGTAAACAAATTTGCTTTCACGTATCTACCAAAAGAGGAGTTTATATTAAATTAAAGGAAAAATCCAACATCAATCAAGCCCATGCTTAAGCTTTTACTCTGCATTTTCTAATGCTGTCACTATATAAGACTTGACTTTCCAGCGCTTGTAGTTCATTGAGATGTAAGTTAGAGCAACTCAAAGGCGTTGAACGTTGTGTTTTTCTTGACTACATATGCTACATATAAACACAGTTACATGTAAACTAAACCACAAACAAAACTTTTAGCCATTAAAGGATGTCTAATCCCCAGTTTCTGTCTGCTAAAGTCAGAGTAGCACATGCAGGCCTCACATTTGAGTACTGGAAATGAATACAGTTGCATGTCTGTAGTTCTAAGCATGGCAGTTAACATCCTGTGATCACCTGTCTACTGAAGACACAGTTCAAAATAAACCCAAGAAACAACATAAAAGCAATTTTGAAAGTCTGGTACTTTATCAGCTTTTTTAACAATATAATTTAAGGTATTTTGAAATAATTTGCATTTCTTTTAAGAAGTAGGGCCATTTGAAAAAAGTGTGTTTTTAAAAGTCCAAAGAACATTAATATTGATAGTAGCTTATTCATCCTGATAACTTTCTGTGTGCAGTTGCTATTGCAAATACTTTACTTGTATAAATACATGTAATCCTCAAAAATAAATGAATGAGGTAGTATTTTAGTCACACTATACAGATGAAAGAGCTAATTAATAGAGAGGTATTGGGATATTTGCATAAATTCATATACTTTGCATATGGCAGAGAGACAAAGTTCATGATACTAGCTTAATCACTAACTCTGTGCCCACCAGTAGATTTCGACTGTAGTTAAGCCCCTTTGGGTAATTCACTACTACTATTTAGTGCTCAGTATATAAGCACTATCCTAACTGCTTGCATAATGCTCTCCCCATCTGACATTTTGATAGACATATGACTTGGCAATTAGTGATGATTTACAAAAGCATTGGTAACAATATGCTTATGTTGATATTTCTAAATAAATATTTGGATGACACACTCCATCAAAAGTTTAGTGTGTCCTGTTACAAAATGCTTTTAAATCGATTACACTTCCTTTTATCCTTCTAATGCTACTAGAAAAAAATCTTATCATGGTTTTATTTTTCTCTTTTCTGGGCTGATTACGATTGATATGTGGATGGCAAGATACTGCTAATGAGTAAGCCAGAAATGCTTCTTCACAATGCCAAATGCTTCCTGAAGCTTGTGCTTGAGGACATTTTATGGTGTTATGGCAAGTTCATATGCATTTAAATAATGACAGTTCCTGTGGTTGAGAATAATGTTCTGGTCGGTCAGATGCAAACCCCAGTTAGAGTTCAAGTTTTACTGCAGATTCCACGCTCCTTCATTCTAGCAATTGAATGTCCAGTCATGAGTTCTAGAATGCCAGAGTCTTGAAACCCTAGAGAATATGCTAACTGATGTTTTCAAGATGAGTCCTGGAGCTCTGTGAATCATATGAGGTAAGGTTGTAGCAGCCTGGCAGCTCTTGTGTCCTGAGGGAAGCCATCTGTAAGCATTTGTCACAGTGAGGAGTCACCCTTATGAGTGAGGCATTCACACCACCTGTCATTAGCCGTGTATTCCTTCTTCTTGGTATGTATACAAAAGCCACTTCATGATATTAAGTTTGTCTAGGTCTTATGAGTTCCTTGATATCTGGCAGAAGCACTGATTTGTTCCCCATGACTCTAAGTAATAATGTACAACCTGCAGTCATCCTGCTCCATGGGCCGTGATTATAACTCATGACTCTAAGTGATAATATACAGTCTGCAAGCATCCTGCTCTGTGTGCCATGACTATACTCATGACTCTAAGTGATAATATGCAATCTGCAGGTGTCCTGCTCTGTGCGCCATAGCTATAACTCACAAGAGTCCATTTTAGATGCCGGTCTTGGAGGTTATCCAGTCTCGATACTTAGTCACTCTTGTGTAGACTCCAGGCTTGTTTGGAAGGGCACATGATTGTCCCCAACTTACAATGCCTACAATGTACCAGATATCCCGATTGTCATAGACCAGAGGTCCCCCAGAATCTCCCTAGAATAGAAACAAATGCTCCAATTCAATATCATAATAATCATCTCTTTTCCACAGACCTTGCCCCCAAAGCAGAAAAAGAAGAAAAAAGAAAATAACAATAGAAATCAAGCATGGTGTTGCACTCTTAAAACCTCAGAACTTGGGTGGTGGAGAAAAGAGGATCAAGTGTTCAAGGTCATCCTCAGCTACATAGTAAGTTGAGGCCAACTATATGATTCTCTGTCTCAATCTCCCATTCCCATTCCCCACCAAAAAAGAAGGAATGAAAAAGAATAATGAAGCATAAAGTAACTATGTGGACAGCTGATTTTCATTTCTTAATGTGTAAATGGGGAAAATTATATAGTGCTATAAATGTCTTGATACACTGACAATAATAATATAATAAATACAAACAACAATATAATAAAATAATAATAAAACTGTCCTAAAGGTGCTTTACTTTGGGTTTGTGCACATTAAACACTCAGGATGATTTTCTATTAGTATATGCTAATCTCAGAAATAGAAAATAGGAACTTCCTTCTGAAGGATTGACTTCAACTTTCAACTTACCTTACACGCATCTACTTTTCCTTCCATGAATCCAGCGCACAGCATCCCTGGAGTTATCAGGCCGTCATACACATCCTTTCTGTTACACACGTCAGTGCCTATGGTTTCCACCCTAGCTTGCCGGAGTTTATTTTGTGTTGGTCCTATTACATACACACAGATAAACAAACAAAGAAATAATGTGCTTTTCAAATATGATTGTAACTTTGTTACAGACTAATGGTGAACTCTATACTCCAAGAAGCCAAAGCACAAATTATTTTAGGAATACTGGTTTCTGTGAAATTGTATTTACTCTATCTTTAGTGTCTGTATGAAAGAAATCAAACATACAAGCCTCAGAACTGTATCATATTAGTGATTCTTTCAAGACATCCTTTAAAACAATACAGATATTATATGTACACAAGATTTTCATGAGATCACAATCTGCAGTCTTTACTGCATACTCCCAGAGATCAACCACACTGATATAGTCCAAATTGCATGATAAATAAATTCAGTGTTTTTTTTTCACCTAATATTAAAGTAGAAACCAGGACACAACACAGGGAAGCATTCTCCCTGGTGTCACTTGTAGTGTGTTGTAGTGTGTAAGGCATTTCATAACATAGGAAGTAAAATGGATGACCAACTTGTACCAGCCACCTGATGGCAGAATGATGATAAGGGCTAGGAATGAAGGATGCTGCATGGTTGAATACGGATGGAAAGGACCTTGGGGTTTGGGTGAACTATGGGTGAATAAACATGAGTTAGTTGTGAAAACAAAGTTCATAAGAACCTGTTAAAAAGCCAAGTTGAATACATATGATAATATATTTCATAACAGAATTCTACTTTCAAAGAGCTAGGCTACGTGTTCTAGCATCTGTCCTGTCTTCTACTTCCTTTGGTGTACTCTTTTGGGGGGCATGGAGCTCAAGACAGGAGTTTTGTCTGTGTTGCCCTGACTGTTCTGGAACTCAGTCTGTAGACCAGGCTGCCTTCAAACTCAGAGATCTGTCTGCTGCCACCTCCGAGTGCTGGGATTAAAGGTGTGCATCTCCATGCATGGTTTCTTCTGTAGATTCTTCATTGAATATTAAATGTATCTTTTTATGTTAAGTATTTGACTAATTTCTCTGTGTGTAGAACATTAGCAGTTAGAATTCTTAAGGTTTGATTTTTAATTCATGAAACTCTTGATATCTAAAAATTTCTAAAGGGGGATAAAATGAAAATAAAGAAAAGATATCAATAATGGTATTTAAAATATATGCTGAGTGAAAGAATTTACATCAAGGAAGTATACATTTATTTTTAGCTACTCCTGCATCTGCCTTTTCTTATAATATCTAACTTATTCTGTTCTTTACTTCTTTACTACTCTATCCTTTCTTACTAATATTTCAATTGTAAACTGTGAGATAAGGCCATTCTTTTTACATTTCAACTAACCTAAACAGCTTCCGGTTCCATCAAGGGCCCCACACATAAGAGCTTTACCATCATCATCATCGTGTGTGTGTGTGTGTGTGTGTGTGTGTGTGTGTTGTAGCACATGTGTGTGAGTATGTGCTTGTATGTGCTCACATATGAATATGGGTGCAAGTGTGCATCTATGTACATGCATGTGGAGGATAGAGGTTGGTGGTCAATGTTTTCTTCAATCACTGTTAGCCAATTATTTGAGTCTGTGAGTTTTAGGTTCTCTCACTGAATGCTGGATTCATCAATTACAGGTGTGAGCCACACAGTTGACTTCCATGTGGGTGCTAGGTACCCTAGCTCATCGTTGCATGATACTTTGTCAACTAAATCCCAGCCCATGCACCATTATTTTTATGAAAATACTTTAGTATCACAAAAAGAATAGGGCGGAACTACTCACCATCATCTACAATAGACCCAAATCCTGTGACAAACACACTTGTTTTTGGAGGCAGTTTCATAGATGAATCTGGGAGGCAGACTCTCTGGACCATATTTGAAAACTCTACGCGGGTAGTGAGCTGAGCCAGAGCAATGTCGTTTTCATTGCTTTCTCTGTGGTAATCTTCATGGATGATAATCTTGCCAACATTTCGTTTCACTGCAGGTGGTGTTATAGTTGTACCGAAAGTAGCAATCCATTTACTTGGGTCTCTGTTTCTACAGAACATTAAAAGATAAGATTTGTGATGGTTCCCATTACCTACTAAAAAAAAGGTCAAAAATATACTTATGTTTAGCTTTTAGAATTAAGCTCTTGAAATTTTCCTATGGCGAGAGAATTGACATTTGGTGGCACTGTGAAAAAAGGTTTCCTATGGTTAAGCCAAATAATTGTATTATTAATTATCTATTTCCAAAATTTATGTTTGTGCCTTGTTAGAGCTCTTTGGGTTTCCATTCGCTTATTTCAATGAATTGTGCAGAAACTATTTGCTTTCTTCTAGTTAATGAACATCCTAGCAGGCAAGTTCCATCTGCACCCAAACGCCCATTCTGATTTGACAACTTACTTGTTGGCTCTTGTTTATTTTGATCTTTGAGACTAAGTGGAATGTGTTTGCTGTGCAATTCCTTAAAAGCACAAAGTAGTTCCTCCACCCATGCCCACACCCCTTCTTGACATTCAAGGGCTAAGCTGCCCTTACTGGAAGCCAGGCTCACACAGCTCTTTGCTGTAGTCTGCTCAGTGCCCCGCTTACCAGCTCTTCTTCCACAGATGCTCATTTTCCCAGGGCTGTGCCACAGATCTCATCCAGCCCAACCAACTCTTACCTGCCATGATCCTTCCCCAAAGCCCATTTCAATCCTTCAGAACTATTCACACCGTGAATGATTAAACATATACAGAAACCAGAAATAGTCTAGGTGAAGTGAAATTAGGTAGAAGGAAATCACCGAGGAGAACTTAAAAGAGGGATTTCCTCTTTTATAAGGACTAGTCATGTTGGTGAATCATCAACTTTTTTTGTTTGTATTTCCCTGTGTGGAGCTATGTGTACAGGAATAGAGGTGTCAGTGGAGGCAAGAGGCATCTATCTGATCTGCTGGAGCTTGGTGTTACCAGCAGTTGTTCCCCACTTAATATGTCTGCTGGTAAAGGAACTTGGGACCTTTTTGAGAGTAGAATGTCTTCTTCACCCCAGAGCCACCTCTCCAGCCTGTGAACACTATATTCTGTATTACCGTCTCTGAAATCAGAGTCCTTCCCTCCTTCCTTCCTTCCTTCCTTCCTTCCTTCCTTCCTTCCTTTCTTCTTTCCTTCCCCCTCCCTCCCTCCTCCCCTCCCTTCCTTCCTATAGAAAAAAATATCTCTTTTGTATTTTGAGATTATATATATACATATATATATGTATATATATAATTCCCCCTTCCTTGAATGATCAACTTTTAAGAGTAGTAAAAAGCCATGCAGTTTCAATGTGCCCTAGACTGCCCAGGCATTACCAAACAGAGACAGGAGTAGGAAGAGAGTTCTTCTCCCATCTGTTTGTTTATTTAATTACTAATGGAAATTATGTTTCATGTAGACACACTAGGACTGGAACATTTGATACACAGACATTCACTACTGGAATCCCAGGAGAGACAATGACTAACAAGATTCTAGGAGAGGAGATCACAAACAATTTTGGACAACAAAATAGGATGCTATCCATTTGTACACCATTCAAGACTCACAACAGCCCAAACACCCTGCTTTGTGGATAAGAACACTAAGAGATACTCAGGCCTCGCTACATCTTGTCCAAATCTTTTCCTGACTGGAGTAAACTTACATGAACATGAAGTTTGGGGATTGTACTTAAACATCATTTTTAAATATTCCAGTTTACAGAAAATTCATTAATTAAAATAGGAAGGCTGTTTGGTTAATTTCTATATTATCTCATAATATCCCTTTATTCCCTTTCTAAATAGTATTTCAAGTGTACAATTATATGAAAATACAACACTCTGAAAATATAATTCCTTTTCTTCCCGATCATCACCTTATCCAGCTCTTTGAATTACTTCTATCAGTATCAAATTTGCCATATTAAAATCTTTCTTTGGCATCATAATTGCCACTAACTTCCAAATGTCTTTGCCACCTCTCATTTAAACACTCCCTAAAAGTAGTTTTTAAAATTACTGCACTTGTTCCTTCGATTACCTTTTGAATATATTGCCATTCTTACCACACTATGAAAAAAATCAGCTCAATAGTAATCTTTACTACCAGCTCCAACATTTGGTTCCTATGTAGGTCTGTCCATCCCCAGAAATAGCACTAGACTCAATGAAGAGAGTGTTTATATTCATTACTAACATTAAGCTGACACTTGGGTTGTAATTTTTACTTTATATAAACACTTTTACAAAAAAAACATAAAACTAAATATTTGGAGACCACAAAGACATGAGTGTGTCAGAAAGTCTTAACAAACAAGTGTGACTTGTGTTTGTTCATCATGAAGACATGTATTGGTTGCTTTGGGATTCATAGTTATGCAATAATGAGTCTCTTCTTCATTGAAGAAGTAATAGATAACTTTAAATTCACTAGATCATTCTCATTACACCCTGTCTGCATAGAGACTGGATAATTATCTTGGAATCATTTTGTTTGTGCCTTAAAAGAATCATAAAAAGCCTCCTAGAAGCCCCACAGAGAAGCTGCTTTAGGAGGAATCATAGACAGTGTCACTGTGCAAGCGAAAAACCCTTATTCGGAGCCCCTCCTGTCTTTTGAGATTCTCTCTGTGCTGATGGTAAACCCCAAGGGAGAGACGATCAAATGCTTCAATCTCCAGGTGCCCTAGAGTGGCTATGTACATCTGAGTTTGGGGAGCAACAACCATGAAAGCCAAGCTGAGAAGTCTGACTTTGCTGTACATGACCAAAATAACATGCTATGAGAGCAGGGTGACAAGGTGGGTCTCTGCTACCCTCTCTACACTTTCTGAGTCATACACTCCCATGAGATTTCCTGGATAATGCAGTGAGAAGAGAGTGCTTCAAAGCAGATTTAGAAGCCTTTTTTTCCTTTGTAATCACATAATACTGGATAGACAGTAGGGAGTCTCAGAGATTAATTAGTGGGGGTAGCAGAACAGAGGAGGCTATCTTTTCTCAAGTATGCAGAAGACAAGAATAGTAGTCTTCAAGTGAATAACCTGCCGTATTATAGGAAAGATAGCACTAGGATCACAATCATACAAACCGAGCAGGTATGTCGAGAGCACACAAGGTACAGACCAGAGAACATGTGATGACAGGGAGCTGTTTCCTTGCAGTAATTCAGTGGCAAGAAGGGATAGGAAACAAAAGCTCCCCACAGCTACATGAACTTACTTCCAGAAGCAGTGAGCTGCTGTGAGCAACCATGTGTTGCTGATGAGTGTGGCTCCACACTGATGGCCTGCCCCTATGAGCTGTAGGCTGGCCTGCCATGGCCACTCCCCTTCCATAGCTGTTTCTCTTCCCTGGACAATTCTCTCAGTAGTAGAGGATGCTGGTAATGGCATGTTTGAAGATGACATCCTTATCCCACATCCTGACAAAGAAACACATAGTAAGTTGTTCTCCTGACATAAAGTATCATGACTTACTAGTTATATATGTTATAAAAAATAAAATCGCATTCATATACACCTAATATGTGAAGTATTAAAAACAGAAATGAAAGACTAAGTATTTTATTTGTGAGAGTATAAAAAGAAAGGGAAAATCTTGTGATCTGTGTTTTTGTGATTCTTATCTAGTCTCTTTATTAAGAAATAAACAGTTATTTGTGGACTTTGGAACTTACGACTATTGAGAAGATTTCTCATCTTTTTGCTGTCAATAGCTGTAACAAAAGAATAGAAGTTAGTTGACATGATAATGCAGTCTCTTTCCTATGCTATTTTGTTCACATGTTCATGACAATATTGTTAATTATTTGAAGTATCCATATTCACAAAAACATTGAAGTTTTTATAATCAAATAATATATAACAATCCTCTGACTCAATCATTTGTTCAAATAATAGAACTTCATTTGAAAATAAACTCATAGCTTCTTATTTTATGATTTTTCTTTTATAATTATGAATGAAGGGGTAAGGGTTAATGTCCCAATGGCTTTCTTTATGGAACTGTAACCAAAGTCGAAGAAGTGTCCTGCAATTATCATCGCAACTGGTGTTGCCACTCAGTGTTCATTGACCATTACCAATAGTTAGTGATGAAGGCAGACCTTCAGGGGCCAATTTCAAGGTTCTAGTCTAACAAGAATTGAGAATTCTGTTCATGGACCTTGCTGACTTCTCCCTGAGACGCTCTCACATTGAAGTGCCAGAAAAGTTTGTGACTTGGCAGTAAGAAGAGTGTGAACCTCTTTCCCTTATAACCTGTCTAAAGACCCATCCACTCAAGACTTTTATCCACAACTCTGCACTGCAGAAAGGTAGCTGGAGACTAAGTGGTGATCCAGTGTAAGCAGACCCTGTCTTGTCAGTCTTTTCTATCCCTGTGAGTAGCTTTCCTCTTTCCCCAAACAGGGCCCCTCTGGAAAGAAGGTCTTGTGATCTACTGTTGAGTAAGGTTAGAGAATTCCTCTATGACCCGTTCTTCACAGAAAGGTAGGTGGGGTCAGACTCCCGGTACCTGCTTTGCAAAGAGGGATTCTAGTTGCTATGGCTTGCCTTGGAGCAGAAAGGAGGGAAGTAGGGAGAGTGAGATCCATAAAGATCAGCCCTTGAAGGACCCTTAGATTTACTTTAGTTCAAAATTATCCTTGCCAAACAACATAATCTGGAGTATTCTGTTCTGTTGGAAAAGTCCAAATAGGAATGTAAGCCCCAATCCTTACTAGGGATTTTCCCAGCGACATTTCTTTTAATGAATGCCATGTATGCAACAGAAGAAAATACATGCAAATGAATATTTGTTATCAAGCATTGTCTTAGAATATGCTCATTTTTGTGTCAAAATAGCCTGTGTGATAAAAATGTCATTGTGTATATCCAAGACCGAAAATTCTTCTGAAAACTTTAAGAAATTCTGTACCTTTAACAATGCAGTAAACTTTGAAGTTTTCTATTTTACTTTAAGTATTTTACTTTAAGTACTTTGGAATAGCTATATTATCAGTCAAAATTTGCTCTGAGAATTCTCTTTATAGAATGATGAATACATTCTATTTTCTTTTTGAGCAAAATGTTTTAACAATCAAAAATAATATATAGTAAATAACATGATCATCATTATTTCTAACTACCTATGTAATATACGGAAAAATAGACTTAAAGATGTCTATGAAGGATCTGAAAATCCTTTCCATCATTTATATGAAATCAAAAATAAATAAATGTAGAATCTCATGAAGCAAAGTGAAGGATCCAGAAGGTCTGCTACCTTGAGATGCAGACAGCAGACAAAGGAGGTAAACAAAAAGGAGACAGGTCCAGTCCTTGCATCTGAAAACACTGTCTAAGACGGTACTTTATTTGAAGCAGTATTTTATTTTGGAAGAGTATTAACAATAGAGTCCCTATAGGTATGGATTCTAACTAGTTCTAAGGTACTTTTTATTTTAATTTCGTAAACTCTTTGGAATTTATTTTCTTCCAGTTGGGGGAAAACTAAGACTTTTCTGATATCTTCTTTTCTTTAGGTAGTAACGAAAATAATGAAAAATATTTTGAAGTCAGAAATAAGTCAGGGAACCTTCTTATAGTTTATGTCTATCTTATTTCAGAGTCATTCTTCACACACATGTTTGTTTCTTTTATATAAAAAGTAACTCTTGGGGCCAGTAGTCAAGATGACTTATTGTTCTTTCAGAGACCTTGGGGTATCTCTTCATCTACACCTGCCTCTAATTCCAACACAAAGGGATCAGACATTCTCTTCAGGACTCCATTGGGATCTCCACACATGTGCACATAAATTCAAACAGGCACACAAACACAGACACACACACACACACCCAGGAAATATTACAAAACAAACAAAAAATACTCTCCAAGTGAACCCATAAAGGATTCTGAGGTTCATAATATCTATATTTAGTTCTGACTATTTGTGCTGATTCATATCTCAGGGCCTTGTTTAAAGTCAAGCTCCCCATGTAAAATGTTGAAAATAATACTTACCCTCTTATGCATTTTTAAAATACCAATATCATTTGGTTAAAACATTTAGAAACTTCATAAAACTCACCATTCTGAGTGAGGTGACGCAAAACCAGAAAGACAAATATAGTATGTACTCACTCATAAGTGGATACCAGACATAAAGCAAAAGATACCCAGCCTACAATCCACAACCCTAGAGAAGCTTGAACCCTCTTCCAGAAACAGATGGAAGCACCTGGACTACAATAGAAGTGAGGGAGTGCTAATATGAACAAAGGATTCAAGGCCATGATGGGAAAACTCACAGAATCAACTGATCTGAGCTAGTGAGCGATCACTGACTCAGGTCTGACAAATGGGGAACCTGCATATGACTTAACTAGACTTCTGTAATATAGGTGACAATGGTGTGACTGAAACAATATATGAGGTTACTGGCAGTGGGTTCAAGATCTAACTCCAATGCACAATCTGACTTAGTGGAGCCCATTCTATATGGAGAGATACCTTGCCCAGTCTAGACACATGGGTGTGTGTGGGGGGGGGATAGGAAGGTGCCTTGGCCCTGCCAAGGAGATGATGGGACAGACTTAGTAGACTTCCTACAGGAGGTCTTACCCTTTCCATGGAGCAGATTGGATGTGGGGGTGGGAGGAGTGGGAGGACAAGATGGAGAGGGAACTGAGATTGGAATTTAAAAAGTAAATTATTTTAAAAAATTAAAGAAAAAATCTCTCATAAACATATAAAGAGAATAATTCTAAATTTTACTTCATAGTTAATTTTTATTGTAGTTTTCTTCCACACTGATGTGTTTTTATTTATTTAGTATGTGTGTGTGAACACACACTCATTTGTGAGCATTCAGAACCCTGAAGATGTCACAAAGATTCCAGCTACCTTGGAACTTGGCTTACAAATAATTGCAAACTGTCATGTGGATGCTGGGAACTGAACCTGGGTCCTTTGCAAGAAGAGAAAGTGTTCTTAAATGCTGAGTTATTGGTAGATTTATTGGTGAATTTGTAAAATAGGAAGTCACATGAACCAATTTTTTTATGACAGATGCAGGAAAAATGGCAAAAAACTACAAAATACTTACGTGTGAGGCTAAATGATGGTTTATATATAGTCAAAGGCAAATGTTTGATCTTCAGACTTTGATATAATGTCCTTTCAATTTTTTTCTTTATTCGTTCAGCACTATCAGTAGATGGGTATCGAAACATGAGCACCATAAGAATGCTCACACCCTGTTCATCTGGACTGGAACAAAATAAAGAAATAATTCCATCTCAGTGATCTCAGTGAATTTAAAGAAACATTGTGGATGATATCTGTGCACAGGATACTTAGTGTTACATCTAGATAAAGGGAACAAGATGGGATGCATGATGATAATGAGTGTTACAAACACTGTAGAAGTGAAAGCAGCATGGTGGAAATCTGAAGATTATTCTCTACCTTTCCTCAGTTTGAAGAGTTTTGTGAGGTTCTCATGAAACCATACCTTATATCCACTTAAACCACTTACTTTTTAAGACAATATGAATACAAGTGGTAAGGTAGCTAAGGTCATTATTCCGCAGTGAAGTGTGGCCGAGACAATGTGGTCCATCACCCTTTGCCTCCTGAGCACAGAACTACACTGCATTTCTAGCCTCTCTTGAAGTTTACTCAAACTCTCTTATGAATTCTGGCTAAAGGGATGTGGCCAGAAATGATGTGCCTGTCTGCCAAAGCCTTGTGCTTCCCTTGTCTCAGGCAGAAGTAGAAGACCACTGGGCAATGGAATACTGTAATGTCCACTGGTACCCACACTTTTGGCCCCACTTTTGATTCTTTTGATTGACCTATGAAAACACAATAAACGGTGTATTAAAACACTAATAATATTTGGCTATTTGATATTCACTCAATAAACAAAGTTTAATAGGTAGAAGTTTATAAAATAATTTGATCAGTGATTCAAATATAGAAATTTATGTCATGATGGAAAGCCTCTAGTCAACTTCAGAAAGTGAATTGACCTAGAAAGACAAAGAAAAAAGGAAGAGACAGAAAAAGACTAATTATCACTAAGAAGTTTTAAATATATATACACATATATATTTCCTTTCTCTCATCCACCTATCATCTTTATCATCTACCAATTGTCTCTAACTTTCTATCATTCTATCTAACTAGCTATCATCTATTATCTATCTACTTACCTGTTTACTATTTCTATATCACTCTACTATCTACCTATAATCTATCATCTTTGTATCTATCTCTATCTATCATATAATTATCATGTATCTATCATCTATCTCAGTGTGAAATCTAGGTCTTTTACACATCATACTAAAACATATATAGGAGCTGGTAAGATGACTCAGCAGGTAAAGGTGCTTGCTGACAAGCCTAATGACCTAAGTTTGATTCCTGGAACCCACATGACCGAAGTAGAGAACTGACTCCTATAAGTTGTCCTCTGACTTCCATGTGTATGCTGACTGATGCACATGTTCACACATGAACAGCATAAAGAGATGTAAAAAAGGACAGGTCTTAGTCCCTGATAATAATTCTGTTTAATTGATGTATAGTACATCTCACCGACGTATTAAAATTTGACATTAAAATGACAAAAATATGTTGACATTAAAGGAAAACATGGCATAGGAAGTGACAGTGATGGTTATAGACTTAAAGAGAGAAAAATGAAAAGGTCTTACATTGTTCTATTTTGCTGCCTCTTTAAGGGGACAGGTTGGTGTTAGTATAACAGTCTTATGTTCTTTCCTTTCTGTATATTTATTTTCTGGCTAATAGCTGTGAGTCTCTTGTAAAGCACCTTCTATCTTCCTATTGTGACTAAGAAGTCATTGAAATGGTCCGAGTGCATAACATGTGTGGTTTAAATTTTATGAAATCTCTTTGTTACAATGATTCTCTGGGTGGCTGAGCCCCCATGTGAATTAATGTGAATTATTGTATTGACCTGAAATTACAGATCAGCTCTACATACCTTATCTTGATAACATGTGACTTGATGAATCGACCCACTCCAGAAGAACGTCGAAAAATCCTAGACATCTAATAAAAAATAAATAAGAAATGTTAGTCCTGAGAAACATATTATTTATCTAGCAAGGATTTTTTTGGTGACAACCAGATTTTTAGTTGATTTTCATGATGCATATTGGGTTTCCACAGTGAAAAGACTAAATCTGTGTTCAAATCCTTGAAGGACTAAACAACCTCTTCAAAATGGTCAAATTTGCTGATCATGTGTAAAATGGTGTGATTGTGATTATCTGTCTTACAGAGTTGATTTGGGGAATAAAGCTTAGAGCTGAAAAGATGGATCAGTAGCCAATAATGCTTCCACTGAAATCATAAGGATACAGATACAGATTCTAGTACCTGTGAGATAAGCCAGGCTTCCTTGCAGTCTCCTGTAATCCCAGCTAGTGGGGGCTGCAGAGACTTGCTGCTTTAAGTCTAGCTCCCAAAGCAAGCACCCCTGGGTTCAGGGAGAGACTGTGCCTCAAAGGAATAGGTGAAAAGTGATATCAGAGGGTTCTTATATGACGTCATCTTCTGGCCTTGTATGTTCACAGAAAGGTGTGCATGCACGTGCACTCATACAGACCCCCCATACACACACATACACAGACAAATAGGATTTTAAAGCAAATAAATTTATATCATGTTTGATGTCTAAAAGGTTACAAAATAATTTTAGTCTTACTTATCAAATATGTTATTTTAAGACATCATCCTCAGTTCTAAAAAAATTCCAGCATCCCTTTTGCTACACTCTTGTAAGAAGTCTATCACTGATACCAGGTCTGTTGAATTTGTCAATGATTATTATATCACTTGGCTATTTGGATGACTATAACAGCTCTGACACTTCACTGTGAGTCATGTCTCTGAGACAGTCAGGACTAAACATCTAATACTAGTAATGGTAATTCATTTCACCACACTTCATATCATGAGCATGACATTCCTCAATCTTTCTAGACTGAACCTGTAAAAGATTTGGGATGTTCAGAGAACTTGTTTCCTGAAGTCCTGATTCCCTAAAAGGAGTTTTGATGAAATTTACCATCAAAGAACACTGGGCTCACCATCGAAAGTCAGAAGACATAGGTCTGAATTAAATGTAGCAAAGTCTGCTTATGAGCTATGTCTCACACCCCACCCCCCAGTTACTACACCCTTTGGGAACGAGGGGTCTGTGTTCCTGATCCATATGCTTTCTGAAGAACTAGTACAACACTCAGAAGAGTCTACCTTGTAAATATTACACCCATTTTCCTTATTTCAGTCTAGTGGTGGACTATTGTCATAGCCTCATAAACCTTGTTATATGGTCCTTCTTGTTCCTGCAGTGTTCCCCCACAGTGCAAAAAAACCTGACATCAATAAAATAGATGGGCTGGGCGTTGGTGGCGCACGCCTTTAATCCCAGCACTCGGGAGGCAGAGGCAGGCGGATCTCTGTGAGTTCGAGGCCAGCCTGGTCTACAGAACGAGTTCCAGGACAGCCTCCAAAACAATACAGAGAAACCCTGTCTTGAAAAAAACCAAAAATAAAAAAATAAAAAATAAAATAGATGGATGCAATAAACTCTTGCTTCCTGACAATATCTCCCTCAGATTTCATTCCTGCTCTGCCTTCGCTTGACAGCCACCTCTGCCTGTCTGTGGTTTATAGAACGTGTAGACCAATTCCATAAATGACTACTATGAGGTATCTCTATCAGTAAACAAATGGGCAAAATATATTGTGATATAAATGCATAATGGATTTTAAGTCATATGGAAAATGAAGTTGTTATTTTCAAGATAATAGAACTAGAAAGAGTAGAGTAAGAAAAATAAGCTAGACATATAACATAAAGTAGTAGTGTAAGTATTTGGAAAGAATAAGGGGGTTGGAAAGGTGAGAGGGGAATAAGAGAGAAGGCATTAAAAGTGAATATGGTCAAAGTACATGGTAAATGAGAATGAAAATTTATTTATAAAACCAAGAACTCTGTACATGAATATATACCAGCAAAATATTTTTTTAATTGAAAAGGTGCTAGAGAGATGGTTCATAATCAAAACACCAAATATTTTTTTAAATTTTGTGTTGAATTACCCAAGATACAATTCAAGCAGTCAGTTGGTAGAAACTCAATGACACAAATTTATGAATGAAAATTTTAAAAAAGACAAGATTGGCCATTTGTATTTAAGTTAAATAATCATTAGCAAAATTATTCTTAGGGTTGGATCATAAAAACTTAAGAATTAATAGTTTGGACTAGATACCATCTTCCATGGCTTTAATTCGAGCATTAAACAAAATATTCTTGAAGTAGTTCACGTGGCCCCAAGAAGAGTCGTGTCTGCTCAGTTACTGTTTGGGTTTTTAATCTTTCTCCTCTGACAAGTAACTGCACAAATACTAAATTCTCAAGAAAGATCAACTCCTCCTGGATACCAGGAAAAGCTGCTGGAGAATTCCTTTTAAGGTCTATCTATGAAAATAAGGCCAGTTGTACAGGTATCTTTCTACTATAAGGGTGGTTATGGATCAGTAGAGAAAGAGCACACTGATAGAACAATGCACCAGTGCACTCTGGGAAAGGGTCCTGCTGACTCCACAAGTTTCCTTCCTCAGGTTTCCAAAACGCTCTTTCAGACCACACAGTTATCAGTTATACACTGACTGTGACAGGTCTCAGATTTTTCCACCCTGTTGTTACTTAATTTAATATTGATTCTATTCTTTTCTATGAATAAGACGACATTAATAATCACACATGTAAGTTGAAGGAAGGGTATAGTTTACAGGTTTGCAGACAGTATGTGTGACTGAATAATTACATAGTCATTAATTATTGACTATCTATAGTTATGGCTAGTCTTATTGTAAAGGCAAAACATAAAAACAGCACTTATACTTCTTTTTGACTCTTATTATAGATGTCTTCTTCCCTTTATATCACTAATGCATTCATTCAGTATAATCATAAGTCCCCTGTGTTCAGCATTGTAGACACTGGACTAACAGCACTGAACAAAAATGGGGCTGAACTTTAACTCAAAATACAGTTATACAGTAATAAAACAGACATTGATTACCAAGTGTCATTAGTAAAGTAATATAGGATAACAATTGAGAAATCATAAAAGAGAAGGGATCCCCAAGTTGGTGATGTTTAAGTGGTTTTTGAGATGAGGAATCAACAAGGTTGAGATGGTTTTCTATGTGGAAGCAACAGACTATGCAAGGAATCCAAAAGAAGACCAATATGGGAAGAGCAAAGTGAGCAAGGCAGAGAGCAGAAATGGGAGTTGCTGGATCCAAAACATGCCAGAATTTGGGAACTTGGGTGGAGAGCTTAGATTTTATTCTAAGCATATTGGGAGTCATTAAGAACTCAATACTTCATTTTCAAAAGGTCATTCTGATTTCTCTGTAGATATGAGAGGATCCTGAGTGGAAGCAGTAGTTTGAATACATGACAATTATTAGTATTCAGGTATCTGTGCCAGCCTGTCCTTGGGTTCTGACAGGATTCTCCCTCAACTGCAGTCACTAAGAGCACCACCTGTGTACATTCACTATTTTCTTTTAAAAGGGCCCTGTCCACCTCTTCTCTCTGTCTCTCTCTCTCTCTGTCTCTCTCTGTGTGTCTCTCTCTCCTCTATCTCTCCCTCTCTCTACCTCTCCCTCTCTCCCTCTCTCTCTCTGCCTCTTCTCTTCTGCCTTTCCTGTCCTCAGAGGCCGGTTTCTCCTTTCCCTTCCCTCCTTTTCCCATTCTCTTTTCCCCAATAAAAAAAGCCCTCCACCTAAGCTCTGTCCATGGCATCTTTCTATAGAGTGCTGTTTTTTAAATTACAGCTATTATTCTGGAACAACTAGTCTATAACAGAGATGATGAGCTAGTGGTAGAAACATGACTTGTGACTAGAATAAGCAGGGAATAACGGAAATGTAGGTCCTCTAGCAATGAGGTAAACACAATTGTTCATTGAAATTAAGATATAGAGGATTCTAGAGGGAGCAGTCTTCAAGAAGAACATTTAAACTAGATTAATTTGAGATGCCTCTAAGAGATCAAAGTAGAAATGTCAGGTAGACAAGTTGAATAAGGGTGAAGTTTTATCTATATAGGTCAAATGAGCCTAAATAAATGTTCCTGAAATTATTAGCCTACAAAATTATTTCATCTTCATTAATTGGGAGCTTCCAGTCATAGAATTTACTGGTTATAACTCAATCTAGACAAGAATAAGTTCTCTGGAACCAGAGAATGCTGGGCTAAGCCTCCATTCCACTGTGTCCTCTTCTTGGAGGGTCTGTTATCACAATCTCCCAATTTTTAGATGAGGCTTAGCTTGCAGTGAAGAAAGTAGTCAATGAACTTCAATGGGAAAGTGATTTTCAGTAATAGTTTGTGTCTCATGCTTTTTTGTGTGTATTTCAAATGTCACATGCTTGATGTAGAAAGAAAATGAGAGGAACCTTAAGAAAGCTCCTTAAGCTTTATTGTTGTTTTAGAATAGTTTTTAAATCACAAAAAGGGTTTCAGTGAATGGTCTTATGGTGCATGGAATTAGATGAATATACAGCAAACAACACTAAGTGGTTAAACCACAAATGCTGAGGATGAAAACAATTATAAGCTCGCTTTTTCTTTTGTTTTGAGAATATAATTTAATTACAGCATTTCTCCATTCCCTTTCCTCCCTCTACATCCTCCTGTATATCCCTCCCTACTCTCCTTCAGTATACTTTATATATCCATAAATACAGTATGTTCAGTCCACCTACTGCTACCTGTATGTATATTTTCAGGGTTGACCATTGGCCACTGGACAAGCAACTGCAGTGATCTTCCCTAAGAAGGAGTGCCTCCCCCATGCCCAGGTTTTCACAGATGCTGTATTTTAACCTATCTTAACTCTGCTCCAAATAGCAGAGTTTTACACAAGTGGTTAGAGAAGTCCGTGGAAAACCCAATTACTGTGTGGCTCTGAGATTGTAGGTAGTCTGTAGACAGAGTAAGGTACTAAGAACATTGACTAGCTTTAATATTTCTACTGAGGACCATGACATAAGACATTGATTTAACTGTTCATAAATTGTTCTATGTAGTCATAATGCTGCATTTATCCCATCTCTTGGCTACTAATGAAAAATAACATATTATAATGATAATAAAACACAAAGAAAATGGGAAAATGATATTTTAAACACATATATTTTCAATATAGGTTTACATATAAAGGAACAACATCATTAACAAACATTGATGGGAAAGAAATGCACACAGCAGATAACTATTGCAAAACTTAATTAATAAACAGGGAAATGAGAATTAAATTATTAATTAGATAGAGACTGCCAGCACGGCAAATTTGAATAGCCAAATTGTTAAATTTTGAGAAGGTTGTAGATCAGCATTTCCCATTGTTCTTACCATTCTCTCGATTTGATGACTTCTTTCTATAAACTCTCTTGATGACCTCGTTCCATAATTTTCTTTGTATTTGATGTTTGTGACTTGAAAAGAGGCAAGGTAGTAGAATGACTTATCATCTGAAAGGCAAGGAGAATGGAAGATCCTGGGTTACACATACCAGGTTCTTTGTTCCCACCCCTTCTATTTCCATCTAGAACAAAACCCCCACTAAGTCTATTTCCATCTAGAACAAATGTTACTATAAAACTCAAAAACTCCATTGTGTAATTTCATCATTTCAGTCAGCTGAAGAACACTGACTGATACTCCTCTTGTAGATGCATATGCACATCAAAATTTTTCTAAATTTAGAAATTTAACATATAATGAAAAGCCAATACCAAAGGAAATCCTAAAGTCACGTTTTAGTCCCTCAGAGAACTGTTAACATGGGTTTTTCATGAACAGGGTATTCATGACACAATTTCCCGAGTTTTAAAAACTCTGTTCTCTTCATAAATCCCACTACCACCAGCAATCTAGTTTATATATGTGTCATGGAGAACAATATCTACAGCCTCCTTATGAGCATCCATCCCTGCCTCTTCTCCCATTCTCCACACAGTAGCCAGTGTCCAGATATGTCCTCAAGACAGATCTTTAGCAACACTACTTGCCCACCTGAAGCCTCCATTTTCCCATTAACATGGGAAGGAATCCCAACTCTTTTACTTTGACACACCACATCCTTACTTGTGTGGAACCTGTCTTCTTTTTTATCTTCTTTTCTGCATATTAGGAACTTGTGTTGAAGCAACAGCAAAAGTGTGTTTTTCTAGTCTGTATCCCCTAGAGATGTTTCTTCTACTATTGCTTTCTCTGAAAATCTGTTTCATAGGGTGTTCCCTACTGTATTCTTCCTGCTCTTGACATTGCATCTTTTCAAGATAATAGTTGGAGTGTCCACACTGAGCTAGCAGCCAAAATTGCACCTTGAAGGGCTCCTGCTAGGAGGATGTCAGGTGCTGGAGGGGAACTTTGACTACTTTTCATTCAAAGAGGAAGAAACATTCCGATGATATTAGCAAAAGGAACACAGTACCTTAAGAGCCCTGAACTTTTTTTATAAGTTACTGAATTAAGGAATAGCTGTTTTCATATTCTGCAGTTACTAAGTGTACAATATTTTATATTAAAATTAAATTAAATTTAAATTAAAATTTCCCATTTTAATTTAATTACAGTTTCATTTCAAAACCCTTTTTAGATTAAAAATTATATCAAAGACACCTAGAATGAGTAGGAATTCCCTTTATAAGAGAATAAACATATTCTAACACTAATACCTACAAGTGCTTGATGTTATTCCTTGGTTTGTTTTTTCTGTTTAAACTGTTGTTTAATCTGGTTAAGATAGATTACTACCATAATTTTGTACCTTCTTTTTGTTATTTATGAACTAATCCTAAGAATTTTTGAAGACATTGTCTCTCTATATAGCCCTGGCTGTCCTGGAACTCACTCTGTAGACCAGGTTGGCTTCAAACTCACAGAGATCCAACTGTCTCTGCCTTCAGAGTCATAAGATTAGAGGTGTGTACCATCATGCCCAGCTAGTATTTTTTTCTTAAAAATACAGTTTAGTTAAAGGTTGAAAAGGATGCATCAACAATGACTTTTTAACCTAAAAATCTATGCTCCATTTGATTGAATTTATGGTTTCATTTTTAAGATCATGGCTTAATTATTTTTCATGGGTGAGTGGATGAATGAATCAATATTTATCAAGCAGATTTGTTTTGGAGCAGACATTAAGTTCTAAACAATCACTTTTTACATGCAGTATCTTAATATACCCAAACTATATCTCTATGCATATCTTGTATAGAGAGGTTCTACTACTTATTTCAATGACAGGTTTTTTTCAGTGATGTCTATATCTATAATTCAATACATTTTCATATATTATAATATCAAAAAGTAAAAAGGTAATTTAAAAATCAATAAAATATAAAACACTTAGATATGATTGTTAACATTATTTTATAATTTTGCCTATGGGAATATTCCATATTTACATATAGGGTCTGGAATCAGCAAAATGATGATCCAAAACCAGGTTTCTCTGGTGATAAAACCCTGACATTTTTGAAACCGTGTACTGAAATTAAACCAAGTGCAAAGCAAAAGAGTTTAGTTTTTGAAATTATAATATAATTATATCATTTCCTCCTTCCCTTTTCTTCCTTCAAACCTCACATGTATAACCAACCCCTTGCTGTCTTTTAAATTTATGGCTACACACACACACACACACACACACACACACAAACGTATAAATGCATAAATACAACCTGCATGGTCTATATAATGTTACTTGTATGCATATGTTCTCAGGCTGACATTTGTTAGTGGATAACCAGTTGTTGGGATCTTCTCTGGGGAGACTATTTCCTCTATACTCAGTATTTTAAGTTGCCTGTAATTCTGTGTCTAGGGTTGCCAGTTGAGCATAATCATCAATTGGAATGTTGTAGAGCTGCAACGATGATTGCACTAAACACTTAAATCCTTATAACAACCCTAAAATACATTGTGTACTGTCTAATAATTGTAGTAGTCACTACATCATACTACAGTGGCACTGAGTTTGTCTGTATCTATTCTGGTAATTTTTGCAATGAAAAAGTTAGACAATTAAAGAGAATTTCTTAAAGCTTGGTTAATAGAAATTAACATTCCAGATCACTCAAGATGGTGGGTCTGAGATTAAAACCACGACACATCTGTCTCTATATCTCATCGGAAAACACAATTCCTACATTCCTGGAAGGAGAGTTAGTACTTCATATTGAGAAAACAAATGGGCTATCCCAAAGAAGATGAACACTTTATAGTTTTGAGAAACCAAGTATTAAAACAGTTTGAAAAATAAGGCTTATGAATTTTGTGAATGTGCAATTTTACAAACTACATCCTTCAAATTTTCATTTAACATTTTATACCAGCTTTACTATTACCCTATAACAAGAGAAAAACTTATACAAAATTATCATAAAATTGTAACTATCTAAATATTTGAAAAACAGCTAGTATGTAATTCCAATAAGTAAAAGTAATTCCAATAAGCAATTTAAAAGTCAACTATCTCTCCTAAAAAGGAGCCAACAATTTTCAAACCCACATTTGAATTTTCAGTTTGTTGTACAGATCAAATGATATGGTAGTAACTATGGTTTTATTCATTAATCTTTAAAGATACTAATATAATTATTAAAATATTTTGTAATTATTAAATATTTCATTAAGTTTTTCACTGGCAGAAAATTTTTGCAATATGCAGCTGGCAATGGACACTTGTTACAAAATTCCTGCCTGACTCCAGAGCTGCCTCAGAGCCCCCAAATAAACACACAATACTTATATTAATTATGAAACTGTTGACCTGTGTCTAGGGTTTCTTATTGGCTAGCTCTGCCTAATTACTATTTCTATTAATCTATATATTTCCAAATGGTCTTGTCTTACCAGAGAAAGGTGTGGGGACCTGTTACTCCTCTGGCGTCCTACATGTCGACAGCTCAGCCAGTGTCTCCTCAAAGAAGAAGCGATTTCCTGCTTATATACTGTTACTGCCTGAGTATATCACTTCCTGTCTGTCTGTACAGGACCTCTATGGTTAGCTAGTGGCAAGTTCCATTCTCTGACTTCCAGACAGGCTTTATTTGAGCAAGAAAGATATCATCACAGATACTCATCTACAAAGTATTCAAAATCAATTAAAAAGAAAGAAAATTAACCAACCAAGCCCTCCTCTAGCTAGGAGGACAAGGCAGTCTATGGAAACTCTAACAGTGGAGCCAGGGTTTATTCCTAGGTCATCTGTGATGCTATTTTTCCATGCTGTTAGGAATTAGTTCTGAGTTTTACCTTCTCCAGCAGTCATGAAATTATTTTAATTTCCTTCAGATATAATGTTGGCTTTGGCTTCCTAAAGATGTTTTGGGGGTAACATTTTTATATAATAAGCTTTTACTCTTTCTTTCCCTTCCCTTATTCTTTCTTCTAGCTCCTCTTCCTTCATCCCTTCCTCCCTCTCTCTCCTGTCCTTTTCCTTCCTTCCTTCCTTCCTTCCTTCCTTCCTTCATTTCTTCCTTCCTACCTTCTTTCCTTTCTTCTTCCCTCCCCTCATTCCTTCCTTCCTCCCTCCTTCTCCTTTGTCTCCTTCCTTTCTTTCTTCCTTCCTCCCTCCCTCCCTCCCTGTCTGTCTGTCTGTCTGTCTTCTACCTGCCTTCCTTCCTGCCATCCTTCCTTTGTTTCTTTCCATTTGTTCATTTCTTTATGGTATTGGAGATTTGAATCCACAACCTAGCATCTCCTAGGCAATTGTTCTTCTATTGGAAGTCATCGTCACCATTCTTTACTTCTTAAATTTTGAGACAAACTGTTCATTTGATGAAACCAACCTCGATCTTACTCTGTAACCCAAGCAGTCCTTGAATTCCTGCATCAGTCTCCTGAATAACTGGGACTAGTAGCTAACACTACTGAGTCATATCTACCACAGGCTTTCTGGAGGTAAGTCATCAATATATTGATTCTGAGAAGGGAAGTAAAGCTCATAACTTGATGATATTTGTCCTTAATTCTGAAGATAGTCTTTCGGTTTTAAAATTTCTTCTTTGTGCTTCATTTACATGTGCATATCTGTGGGGTATCTATTTAAAATTTTAATACTGAGAAATGTGTAATGCAGGCTTTCTGTTCTTAGCTCACTACACTTTTACATCAATAAAATATTATTTACCATTTCATGTCATCAAAATTTCAAATTATATGCAGCAGAGTGCACTTGTACAATAAAAACATAACCTGAAAACTTACCTTCAACAACAAAGTGAGTGACAATGCCAATTGTTATTCCTATGATTGCTACAATTGCCAATGTGAAAAGAGATAGTCGAATAGGGTCCCAAAATTGTTGCTGTCTTCTTTGATATTCAATTCGTGGGTATTCAGTTTCTGAAAATTCAACTGGTCTGAGATAAAAGAATGAAAAATAATAGTAATTCAATAGACTTCATCATGGTTCCTTCTTATATGCATTTCCTTATGTCTTCTTGCTTTGCTTTTATTGAAAATAGATTCAGTGGGTTTCCCAATCATATTCTTGACCCACAAAGACAGTTGACTCGAAGTTGTAGGAGCTCACGAAATCTTGACTGACAGGTGGGGGGGGGCTGCATGAGATCTAATTAGGCCCTCTGCATGTGAGTGACAGTTTTGTAGCCTGGTCTGTTTGTGGGACTCCTAGCAGTGGGACCAGGATCTATTCCTAATGGATAAGCTGGCTTTTTGAAACCCATTTCATATAGTGGGATGTCTTGCTCAGCCTTGATATGGTGTAGAGGGGGCTTGGTCCTGTCTCAACTGAATGTGACAGGCTTTATTGACTCCCCATGGGAGGCCTTTCTTTTTCTGAGGAGTGGACGGAAGTGGGTTGGGCAGAGAGGGAGGAGGAACTGTGGTTGGTATATAAAATGAATAAAATAGATTCAATGCAGAGGCTCTAAATGGGAAGTCTCCACTGGATCCCTCAGAAGTCAGGGAACCCCACAGAAGAGAGGGAAAAAGATTGCAGGTGTCAGAGGGGATAGAGGACACCAGGAGAACATGGTCCACCAAATCATGCCTTTCTTATGTTCATTTCTTTGTCAAATAATTTGTATTGCTAAGTAGTCCTGGGTCACTTAATTTTCAATGAGAACACTGCAGTGTGCATATCCTCCCCAAACCACAAGCACACTACACATTTTTGTTAACTTCTCTCAATGGGATGAATTCTTTGCACTGTTTTGTGTGTGTGTGTGTGTGTGTGTGTGTGTGTGTGTGAGTGTGTGTTTGTGTGAGTGTGTGTGGCATCCTGGAAATTTAAATGATTGGTAGTGAAATACAAAGCCTAAATTTGAAAATGTATGCTAGCTATATAAGCAAGATTTTAAGTACAATTTCGCATAGTTCCATCCATTGTAGTTGGTTAAAAATAAAAGACTTTAATAAGACTTTAAAATCTTAATGGTTTTTTTTGTAACCATATGGGGCTAGAGAGAGAGAGAGCTCAGTGGTTAAAAGCACTTGCTGCTTGATTTCCAGTACCCACGTAGTGACTCACAATCACCTGTAACCTCAGTTCCAGGTTATCCACCTCCCTCTTCTGGTATATGGTGGTACTGCATTCATGTGGTGCACAAATACACATTAGCAAAACACCCATACACATAAATAAAATAAATTAAATACAAATTAGTTTTTTTAAGTAACATCATCACTTTACAAGACATGCTCAGGGTTCTTTGTATTTTATTGGTTTCTCCAGCAAAATCTCACAGCTTGTGAGTTATGCTTGATGGCATTCCAGTATTCAGGGCACCCAAGACACATCCCACTTGTTTGTCCCAGTTCCCTGTTACATTACTTAAGTCTTCTAGGGACAGGATATCACTTAGATCATCTTTTCCTCACACAAAAGTTGCTATTTACTTAATTTCTGATTCCTCAAAGAGCATCCAGTGCTATAAATTTTTTGAAAACATTTAATTTTATTTGGCAAATATGTAATGAAAATGTCCACTAATATAAACTCAGTACTCATGTTGTTACCTATGATATTAAAGTGCTTCACAAATCATTGTGTTTACCTAAAGGTTTTCATATGTACTTTGCTTTTAGCATTCTCATACTTTAGTAGAGGGGAAAGAAATGGAAACAAATGGTTGCATCTCAATTTTTAAAAGTTTATATCAGAAACACCCTTTTGGAAGGTTGACAAAATTTGGCATATTTTGTCAATAAGGCTATGTTACTTTTGTGTTTATGTGTGATTGTGTTTGTGTTTCTTCATTTGTTTGTTGAGACAGGCACTGATTACATAGCCTTGACTGACTTGTAACTCATTATGTAGACAAGATGGGCTTTTTAACCCACAAATATCTGGGTTGATCCCTGCCTCTGCCTTGAGGGTTCTGGGATTAAGGGGTGCATTGCCGTGCCCATCTTAGGCTATATGAAAACTCTGAGGAATAAAGTTCACTAAAAAGAAAAAAAGAAAAAGAATAGAGAAAACAGAATGTGATAAAGAAAAATTAAAAGGGTGAGATGTGAGAAAATGCTCACCACTAATCATTAGCTTCAGAAATAAAAATATAAATAATATAACTACAAAATTGCCTTAGGGGATTTATGTTCTGCAAAGTGTATGCAGACAGCAATCCTTTCCAATAATACAGTACTAAAATAGGACAGAATATAGTAGGTTGCAGTCAACTTTAAGTGTGAGGGTTATAATCCTAAAGAGAAGTGGAAAGTTCCCTGCAGGAACTGGGGAAACAAGGTTTGAATCAGATGGGACAAATCACATGGGTATGAACAGGAGTGGATTAGGTGAGACGTGGACAGGTAGAGGTCATTGGAAGATCCAAGAGAGAAGTGGCAAATGCCTGGATTGTGGTTGCAGTGTGGAAAAGGAAGGAAAACAGGTCCAGCTCTAATCCTTGAACCTTATGGGGTGTGGGACAAAGAAATGATTAGCAGCTCAATAGTGTGAATATCTGGGCAAATTACTGTGCTCTCAGGAAAGAGGAAGACAATTAAAGGAAGAGGAAGTGCTTCCAAATAGCTATCAATAATGCCAATGTGGTGCTTTGCCTGAGCCAGCTGGAAACAGTGTCTGTATTTTTCTTTTATCACCAATGTTTATTTGTTTCAATGAAAGCAACTCTTAACTATGAAGCTGCTCAACCCAGAAGAAAAATTCTCACATTCCTGTGAGCAATGTAATCCTTCTCACCCACAACATACCTATTTCTAAAATCCGTGTCACTAAGTATTCTTGATTGCTTATTTTGTGTGTGTTTCTGGTATTGTCATTCATTTGTATTCTTAGTCCCTATTTCTCTATTTTCTTGATTTCGTTTCTGCAGACTGACACTTTCAAAATCAGGAGAATCAAATTTTACCAAATTTCTTGTGATGATAGTTAACCATCAAAGCATAAGATACACAAATGAGACTTGTTTTTTTTATCACAATCATTTAATTTTGAAACAAATTTCTTCTATCATTGACTACTTGCTTTCAGTCTAATAGGACTCAAATGATAAATTCTTTCCCATAAAACTTGAAGTGAGTTTTACCTAATATGTTTGTGCTGTGAAGTACAGACTACAGGAACAGCAGGAAGCTGCCACCCAATCACTTGGGAAGTAATGCTCATCATCTTATGGTTTTGATAGGAATTTCTTCCTCAAGTGATCCATGTGTTGGAGACTTGGTCCCCAGATGATGGTGTGTCGAGAAGAAAATGTTCTTTGTCATGCCACAATCTTCACCATTACCATATTCTAAGAACAAGGGTCAAGTCCACTATGGACAATGCCTCTGAAACCATTTGTCAGTGTAAACCTTTCTTCCTCTAAGCTGTTTATTCTAGAGGAGGGAAAGGGTTCATAAAAACCCAGCACAGTAATACTCAGGAGAACTGGCCCTGCCCCTCACCCACTCCACCACTCTGGAGAATGGACCTGGCACCTCCCCAGGCAGCACAGTTGAGCTCTCCCTGCTGGCAAGGGTTCCCATGAGCCAGTCTTAAATACACAATAGTAGGAGAGCTGGCCCCACAATCTGCCTTGTGGTGGCATGGGCGAGGGAGAGCTACCCACTTGCTCCTTGAATCTGGCCACCACTACAAGCAGGAAAAACTGGCCCTGGTATCATGAGAGTGGGAAAGCTGCCCCTGCCCCTAACCAGCTGCAGCACTTAGGAGAGTAGGCCCTGCACCTAACCCAGGTAACATAATAGAGCTGACCACATTGACAGAGGCACGGGATATCTGATGCCCTGGAAGGCATAGCGATGGGGGGGGCGAGAGTTTTACCCACCGTATGGTGGAGTGAGCACGGGGAAAGATGACCTTTGCCCTTCCTCACCCCTTCCTGCTTGTGTTGGGTGGGGGAGCTGGCCCTGAGGTCATGACAATGGGAGAACTGGCACTACCTGGTAATGGCAACAGCACCCAGGAGAGCAAGCCCTGCACCTTCCTGAGGCAGCATAAGAGAGCTGACCCTGTTGGCAGGGGTGGGCCTGGGGGGGCCATGACAGCAGGAGTACTGACCCCACCCCCTCATCTACCATGTGGTGGCATGAGTGAGAAAAAAATACCCTCCCTGGGGCCAAGAGAGTATGAGAACTGGTTCTGGCCCTCACCAGTTGCAGCACTCAGGAGAGGGGACACACATGGCACCTGACCTGGGCAACACACTAAAACTGACCCTGTTGGTGGGAGTGCAGGTAAGCCAGGCCTATGAGCAAAAGAGCAGAAGCTCCCCACTGACCATTCCCTCATGCCCACGGGATGGCAAAGGAAAGGGAAATATGCCCTCCCCCAACCCCTTGCCACCTGAGACAAGTGGGAGAGTCAACCTCTGGGACATGAAAACAGAAGAACTTGTCCTGCCCCTCACCCAGTGAAGCAATATGGAAAACCAGTCCTGCACCTTGCTTGGGCAAAATAGTAGAGCTACCCCTGGAGGTGTGAGTTCAGGCGAGCAGGACCCAAGGGCATGAGAGCAAGAGAACTGAACCCACTTCTTGCTGTCTACTGCATTGGGTGAGCTAGCCAGGACAGTGCTGGAGAGCTTGCCTGGGTAGTGATGATCAGGGAAAGGTGGCTAATCCAGCTACCACTCAAGACCAGAACTATGAGGTAGCCCACACCTACACCCACCTCATGTATGAACTGTTGGAGCATGTGAAGGGGCAAGACATGCAGATCCAATGCTACAGGATCTCCATGACACAACGCAACAGTAGGATATCCAAGATGAGTCCCAGTGAGGGCCCAGTATAGATAATACAGCAGAGGCCAGAGACCTTGAACTGGACCAATAACCCATTACTATGAACATTTACAATTAAAATTTATGGACTAAAGGATACACTGTGTGAGTCACTGGGCCACACTCTATCTCCCATGCAAGATTTT